AGTAATGTGACCAGTAAACATATGTCAAGACATCAAATATATACCTCTCGTAAGACCGACTTCGTCTTCGCCTGTCACCATCATATTTGTCTCTTCCACGTTCTCGGCGATAATCAGGGCTTACACTACTACGGCTTAGGCTTCGATAGCGACTATCCTTGTCCCTGCCACGATGATGATCTCGTTCGTATCTGCCCCTACTTCTGCTTCGGCTTCTCCTATGGTAATCTCTGTCTCTGTCTCTGTAATCACTCCTAGTCACAAATTCCAATTCACAAGCACAAAAATTATTCAAAAACCATAAAAGACAATTGCCAAGTTGATATGCTAAACAGATCTCCAAGGAGCAGAACACAAGGAAAGACCCCCAAACAAAGTTTCTATTTCACTCAACTGACAATAAGATAAAATTTCAAATGATAGATATCGTTAGATTTACAGAAAAATATAAATAAATCAAAGTTCAGTTCCTTCAGGGTAGAAGCATGCAGATACATTGAAAGATGTAAAACTGCAACTAACCACATAAACTTCTAAACAATGAGATTATTTCACAGTTAAAGTCTTAAAGAAGATGTCAATTGTTCACTCTGACTGTGATAGCACAGTAACATAATACGAATAACTTATGTTACCCCGTTTAAACTATGTCACACAATGTTAAACGTTCATACGTTTAGACCTACCTTGGCCTAGGACTGCGGCTCCGTGACCTTCCTCTTGACTTGTAAACAGGCTCCTCAATTCTCCCTTTGGTACTGGTTACAGAAAACCACACATGATCATTAACAGGTTTCCATAAAAGACAATTATGATTTGACGGTACCATGTGATGTGTATAATCATAAAGCGAATAACCATATGAATCCAAAAATCATTTCCAACTTAACAAGGGAAATAATTATAAATATTCCTAGCCCCGGCCTCTGAACAAACTATATGGAACAAGAAACGCAGCACGGTGAATCAACTTACATTCGCTCTGCATTGGGACCATATTTAGCAAACTGAACCATTATTTCTCTACCATCAACCACTCTTCCTGCATGAGATAAGAAAGAAATCACAATATCATAAAATATGAGAAACAACCAAAACCAATCACTATGTCAGTCCCATCTCACCATCTAGCTTCTCAACAGCTTTCTGAGCCTCATCTTGATACTTATATCGCACAAATGCAAATCCCCTTGAATCTCCAGTCCTATATAAATAAAATGAAGCAGAGCCCTTAGCTGGCTAGGTACGCACATGTAACATATGAGTAAGTCACACTTACAGAACATGTAGGAGATAAGTGTAAGTTTCCAAGAAAAGTACAACCCTATAAAATCCCGTAATAAAAGAGTAATACCCAACAGACCTGGGTTTTGCAAAACGGCATCTCCAAAAATCTACTTCTTTATGGAGAACCCACTTATTCGTGAGCCCATTCCCAATTTAGTTTTTTTGAATGAACCTAAAGCATTGTGGATGTTCTAAATGGAGAACCCCAATTCCCAATTTAGCACCACACTAATTATTCAAACGGACTTTTGCATCCAAAAATCCACTTGAGGAGTGTTTACAAACAAGAAGTAAGCAACTCGATTCTCACACGAACAGAGTCACATTCGTGGATACCTAAACGCAAAAACAAGTAACTCATATACCTCCGGTCTCTTGGGATGAACACATCCACCACTTTTCCGTACTTATCAAAAAGTGGGAACAAGTCGTCGGCACTCGTACCTGAAATAAGAATATCAATAATTAAACCACCTACGAAAGAAAAGAAATCGCGGGGAGAGAAAAATAATTCGCCAGTGGAAATCAACAAAAAAGGAAAAGAGAAGTAAATACGAAAAGTAATGTTGAGGACGAGGAGAGAGTAGGTGTCTCTGATGTCCGGCGGCCCAGATCTACCGAAGTGCGACATCTTCTTCCGGCGAGTGAGGATAGAGAAACTAGGGTTTGGAATTTGGGGCTTATTTATGGTTTTGCGGACTCGATGGTGGATTTAGGAGTCGGGTAGTAAGAAGTCATTGGGCCGTAGTAGCTCCAGTATGAGTGAAGTAAAATGCCAAACATACCCTTAACTCAAATCTATACTTATATAACAAGGTGTACCATTTACGAAATTTAGTAAGTTGAAAAGTCAATTCAATAAATGCATTACTATTTTGAGCAACATAATATAATATCATATCTATACTTATATAAAAGGAGATTCTATTTACTACATTTACTATCCAGAAAAGTCAACTGCATTAAATGTCATTACTATTTTCGTATTACAATATTTTATTTATTTAATTGATTTATTTATTTTTTTATTTTAAAAAGGTAAGTATAAAAAAAAGATTTTAATAATAAAAAAATCAAATACCAAATAAAAATGTACACTTTGACTTATTTGATTATATTTGGTATTTGATTTTAGTATATACATTAAATACTTACTAAAGTATTTATTTGTTTTATTTGTCAAAGTTAAGTATAAATTTCTTTATATTATCAAATCATAAAAAAATATTAAATCCATATTGTAAAAAAAATTCATATAATTTTATAACAATTCTACTACACTATTTAACAATATTCCTTTTTTATTATATAATAAAATAATAATTAAATATTATATGGTGAACAACAATAAGTAAACTGTTACTTTCTCTTATATCAAGGGATAAATTTATATGCTAAAATTAATTTTTATTAGTATAAATGTTTTAGTGAGATAATATATTAATTATTTTACAAGCTAGCCCTAACATGCTCATATTTAATGTTTTAAAAGATGTAGAAAAAAACTTATAATAACTCTATTGTTTTTTAGACTTAAACGTTGATTAAAAGAGGTAAAAATTTCTATTTTGTTAGACTTAAACGTTGATTAACACCATAGATTGAGAGTCTATATTTAGTAAAATTCTTAATTCTAATAAAAAAATTAATTTTTGCCATATTTTAGAATATCTTTAAATTCATTATAAAAAAAAGAAAAAAAAATACAATGAAAAAAGCAAGTCAGCTATATATCGATTTGTTGTACTCCTCAAATCACATTCACATTTTGGCTACAAGGAAAGGAAACTCATTGGTTAAAATATTATTTTGTCAGTAGTCTTAATGTACAAGAGACTTTTAAGACTCCACTTGAATATTATAAAACTTTTATTGAACATTGTACAATTTTCTTGCGTATTATAAACTTTTATTGAATATTGCATCTTATAATATAATATTCTCCAAATAAATATATCCCGTGCTTCGCACGGGTCACGTACTATATATATCCCGTATATTTTTCTTTATTCATGTATATAATTATAAGTCTGGATAAGTAGCCTTAAAATTATGCACCCCGTGCATCGCACGGGCTCTGTACTAGTATACAAAGCATACCGCTACCCTTTTTCTAAAGTGAAGGGCTTGCTTGTTTACCGATTAATTTGTCCAAAAAAGTGAGTTAATTAATTTGAGTAAATTAAGGGGGTGTATTCAATTAGAACTTTTAGAGACTTTTTAAGATTTTTGAAATTTAAGGGTATTTAATTGAAACTTTTTGAAACTCTCAGAAAGTTTACATGTATTCAATTAAAACTTTGCAAGAGTCTCTAAAAGTGGTCCGTTATTCAAGTTAGGAAGATTTTAAGAGACTTATAAAAGTAAATGATTCTTGGAGACTTTTTAACCAAAAGTATAAAGAAAATATACATGTGAAAATCTCACCAAATTTGTGAGATTTATGAAGACTCCCCTCTCTCTGTCTCTTCTAACAGATATTCTTATAAGACCTTACTTTGTCTCATGGAATTAATTTTGAAGCTTTGTTATGCTATCATAACATCCAGACCTTTTAGTTGTTGGTAGCTTATGCAGATATTTTCCTAGTTACCATAGCTCCACTTGACCTCTTTTTGAGTTAAAATAAAAGTCCATGCTTCAATTCAAGGATTTTGTGTTCATTTAGAGAAAAGAAGGTGCACGCTTTAAGAGAGAAAATTATAATGCGGGCCTAAAATCCTCAAACGATTTGAAAACAATGTTGCAGACGTTTCCCATGGTAGAAATAATTTGTTTTTTCTCCTTATTTCCAATATCATTGCTACTGTTATATTTAAATGCTTGAATAACAGAAGAAACTACATACAAAGGGGAAATTATCTCCTGACTAATAACTATGCTAGTCTGTAGTCAACACATGGATGTGGGGTGAAAAGCATGAACATAAGTGCATGATATTGTTTAATTTTATTTTTGTCCTTTTTGATTATTCTCTTTTTCTTAAAATGTTAATAAGATAATTATTGCACTCTTTTGGTACGATTGTTAAATATATTTCTTTTTTTTTTTATTATCGAGTTCGTTTGTTATAATATTTTTTACTCTTGTCTTCATTCTGGCTCAATAGGTAGTGTTTAATATCATAACTCATTTTAATATAATATTATAATTTTTTAAATACTAATTTGACTTTATTGATATTAGTTATTATTCACATAATTTTTAATGAACATTTCGTACAAATTTAATTATTATATGAAGAATTATATAAATTATAAAAGTCTTATAAAGTCCAAAAAAGTTCACATTGAAAGTCTTGAAAAGTCTCAATAACAATCTCACAAAATCCACATAAGTCATTAAAAGTTGCATAAAGTCCACAAAAGTCATCCATTTTAAAAAGTCTTAAAAAGTCTTGAAGAGTTCTAATTGAATACAACCATGGCACTTTCAGCAAATGCTGCCATGTGGGTCTGCTCTATGTGGTTGGACATTGTTGAACCTGTACAACAAAATGATGGGGCCCGACCATTTATGTGAATTTATTTTGTAAGTTTTGAATAGAGAATTACGGCATTGCCCTTGGGTTAAGGATGAAAAAAATTTCATTGGTTTCAATTTGGATATATCCACACATACGGTACAATTTGGCAAAGAAAAAGAAATTATGTTTGGATGTTCAACATGTTTTTACAATTGAGTAAAAAAATATTGTAATAAATAATAATTTCATCATCGTCGAGAATATGGTTGATGTTATGTTTGTTTACGGCCAAGCTTCGTAACACGTTTGAACTTCGTATCAATGTCAATTTAAAAAAATAAATAAATAAATAAAAACAATCATGTTTGCGGTTTCTGACTTTCATGTAAGTTGTAATAAATTCTCTCACGACAATGCACCAAACTTTATAGATAAATGATACTAAAATCACAGATTCCATGTAAACAAGCAAATAATGTCGGATTACAGATCATTCGTCTGAATTTATAGAACCCTTCCTCTAGTGTCAAACTGTTTATATGTGGATTTGTATCAATGGTTAATTAGGGATTAACTAGAGGTTAGAAAAATGAAATCGCGAAAATGAAAGATTTTCTTATTGAAATTGAGAGTTTTGAATGAGGTCGACCTCTGAATGCTTTGGGGCCTGATCCTGCGGCTGTGTTGCCTGAATTTATTACGAATGATTGTTGTTATTATATACAATCAATGTAGAGAGAGAATCTTTCTCTATTTAATTGGCTTATTCTTTCTCTTGCCCGCCATAAATGAAACCTAAGACTGTTTATAGCCAAATATTCCCGATCACTATTCGTCTACTGTTCATCGAGCCATGTAGCACAGTTATTCGAAATGACAGCCATTATATACGGCATGGTTGGCCTTGAATGATGATTATCAGCCATTTATGCTGATTGACGGGTCTTTAATGAGGACATGCCACCCTACGAGCCTATGGTTCATAGGTCTGCAGAGTTGGTGGGCACATCCCATCAGTCATCATTAGACTGTAAGGAGCATTATTTTATTATTTCTTGAGTGCGCTTCGAGGTCGGACCCCTGAGATCTTCGAGATCGGACTTCCACTATGACTTGAAGTTGGGTTTCTTTCCACTTGTTTCGAGCTCGAACTTTTTTTCTTGACGTCAAGCTCAGACTCTGCTCTTGTCTGTTATTCTATTTGTTCGCTAGTCTTCGGGCTCGGGCCGCCTATCATCGGGGGGTGGGGCCGAGTTGAGTGCCATGTCTGGCGAGATCGTTCGGGGATCTTTGTTTTATGCGGATGATTAGGTTCGGGATCTATATTTACCAACTCGGATGCCAACAAGGATATTTTCAAAACTTTCAAAAAAGATTAACATGTTTAGTAAATATTTATGCGGAAATCCTAATTTTTTTAGTTACTATTTCAAGGTTTCTTAGGTTGTCTCTTTATATTGGAACGATAAAATTGGAACGATACAGAGAAGATTAGCATGGCCCCTGCGCAACGATGATACGCATAAATCGAGGTTGCCTCTTTATATAATAATAGATTGAATTATATTGATAAAATTGCGAAGAGATAAGTTGAATTGAATTTTAAATTAAAATATTATAAAAAAATATCCGACGAGTCAAAATCAATCAATTTTTCAGCCAATAGCGTGGGCCACCAACTATACACGCACTAAGCTGCAGAAAGGCGTTGAGAGAGGTCTCCAAAAACATTATAATTCCACTGCCTCAGCCTGCACCGTAGTCTTCTGAGCTTGGCCTCCAGGTTATGCATCCAAAAGATCCAAGTCGATCGTAACCTAGAGATCCTGATAGTGTCCTGGAAAGAGTGGTGGTGAATCCACATGTTCTAAAAACAGAAAGAAGAGCGGCGTTGGGTGCTCGAGAATCGACACTGGATGAGGAGGGGGGCATGGTCAGACTTAATTCTAGGAAAATGTGTGATGGTCGTAACCGAAAACACCCTTGCCTATGCCTCAGAGACGAAAGCACGGTCGATCCTCTTCTTAAGTTCGCCCTGCTCCCAAGTGATGGGGGAACCATCACGACCAACGTCAATTAACTCACAATCCGCCATTGCCTGAGCGAAATCCCACATCTCTATTGAACAGTCTGACTGGCCACCAATGCACTCATCAGGATGCAAAAAATGAAGAAATCACTACTGACCATCCACGATATTCCCTCCATACGCACAACGATCTAACGCATGGTGTCCCACAGACT